CCCTCACTCACATCAGCGCCAAGATCTGCCTCAGTGAGTCAGAAAGGGTCACCTTGAGCCAGATCCACAGGAAGCTCAGGGTCTTCTCTTGGGGGCCCCCGATGCCACCCCAAAAGGGCAAAAGTTCAGCACCCAGTCAGGAGTGTGCTGCTGGGAGCCAGACTGATAGCACAGCAGGTCGGGCCCCTGCCTTGCACTCAGCCAACCCGGGTTTGATTCCCAGCATCCCATATGGTCCCCCAAGCACCGCCAGGAGTGATTCCTGAGTGCAGAGCCAGGAGGAACCCTGAGCATCGCTGGGTATGACCTCCAAATAAACAAACAAACCAAAAGAGTGTTTTGCTGCAGTTAGCAGGTGTGCCCTTGAGGCTGCTGGCTCCCAACCCCAGGTCTGCAGCCGCTGGAGGGGCTCAGCCCTGCCTCGAAAAGCCTAGCACCCACTTCTTGCTGATGCCAGGGCTTCCCACCTGCCGTCTTCTTTTCTCTGATGCTATGATGGGGTTTGACCCCAGTACTTGGGGCTGGAGTGATAGCACAGAGGGTCGGGCCTTTGCCTTGTACGCGGCTGACCTGGGTTCAATCCCCACCATCCCATGTGGTCCCCCAAGCATCATCAGGAATAATTCCCGAGTGCAGAGCCAGGAGTTATCCCTGAGCATCGCCGGGAGTGACCCAAAAAGAAAAAAAATTGACCCCAGCAGTTGTGAGGTGGGTCAGTGTCCACTCTGGGCCCCAGGCCACCCCCGCCCCACTCTCTTAAGGCGGGATGTGGTTCTCTTCACAAGCCCCTGCCGCAACCCACCACACAGCTCCCAGCTCAGCAGCACAACGGAAAACTAGAACCCCAAAGCACACATGGTACACAGTATCCATTCGAGGGGTTAGAGCAGAGGATAGCATGCTTTTTTTTTGGAGGGGGGTTATGGGGCGGCTTCCAGCTTGGAGGTCATACTCAGGGCTCTGGGACAGCATGGCGCTGGGCACAGGACCCTCAGCAGCCCGTCAGCCCTCTCCCCGCCTGGTCAGCACTTTGCAGAGAGGTCACCTGGGCTACTTGGGACTCCCCAGGCCCGCTAAGCCTCTGTCACAACCCCTGGATGGCTCCATCGCAGTGGGACAGAAAATCACGTGTCCATGACCTTCATATGCCCTTCACAATGACCCCCACTGTTTGGGGGCCCGCTCCCAGCAGGGATGGAGATGGAGCGGGAGGAGGGGTGCTAGGGAGGGTGTATGCTCTACACCCTGATTGATGTCTGGTAGGCAAATGTTTGCCATGCTCAGCCCCCCAGTCTCGGCTCCAGCCCCACCTGGCAGGTAGACAGCGGGCTCCTGGGGGCTGGTGGCGCGTCGGGAGAGGGGCGGGCTTGACGGTGCCCATGGCCCTAGGGGAGAAGGCTGCACTGGTGCCCTGCGAGGTGTGGCTGCAGATCCGGGACCAGGCCTTCCGCGGTGCCCTGAAGGACAAGACCAGCCCTGAGGCCCAGGAGCTTCAGGGGACGCTGAGCAGTGCGGTGAAGCAGTGGGGTGCCGGGAGGGAGGGGCCCTCGGGCTGGGGAGCAGGCATGGTGACCCCATGGCGCCCTCCCGGCCCCCAGTTGACCGCCGCCCTCAGACATCTGCAGCACCTCGCCCAGGTGGTGGTGGAGGAGTTCCAGTGAGTGAGGAGGTTGGGGCGTGGGGGTCCCCACTCTGGCTGAACCCTGGGGGACAGGAGGAAACGATCCCTGGGATCCCTGGGGCTCTGATATCTGTGCTGCTGCTCCTGCCAGGTCAGAGTCCCTGAGGGTGCGGGTGACGGTCACCTTCTTCAGGGCCGCCCCGGCCCCCGCACTGGTGCGACAAGGCGTGCTCCAGGCACTGTGCTCCCTGCAGAAGGCCCGGGGCCTGGTGGTAGAGATGGCAGCTCTGGGCCCCGGTCAGTGCCCGCCTGCTCCCCCGTCCACCTGTTGCCTCCTCTGAGGAGTGGCCTCGGGTCCCTGCAACCCTCCCTCCTCTGGGACCCAGGCTGCCTCCTCCTGGGGGCCTTCCGGGGTCCCTGTTCCTTCCCTGTGGAGCCTCCTGGGCCAGCTCTTTGCAGGCCCGGCACGGCCTCCGAGTGGTCTGTGACTGTGACCCGTCCCCCAGGCCCAGGCCCCCGCCCCTCCAGAGCCTCGTCCCAGCCCCGCCCTGCCTTCCCTGGCTACGCCGTGGCCCTGCTTGTCCTGGGACTCCTGCTCTGTGTCATCATCCTCATCCTCGTGAGTGTCCTGTCCCCATCCTCCTCCTCCTCGGGGCTGGCTGGGAGGGGCTGGGCCTCAGCCCCCACTTTTGTGCCCAGGTCCTGCAGGGGAGGGGCTACCTCCCAGCCTGCCGCTGCCTGGGGGGCCCGAAGCCACCCCCCAGAGTGGCTACAGACAGCAAGGGGACGCTCACAGGTACAGCATCCTGTTTGCTGCCCCGTGCTCCACCCCCCACCCCGGAACGTCTGCCCCCGCCCCAGCTCAGAGTGGATCATTCCCAGTGTGTGTGCGTGGCTCCTAGCAGGGGCCCACCGACCCCACCCACTCCCAGAAGGGCTGTGGGGGCCCTGAGACCGAAGCCCGCCTCCCCCACCTCCCTCTCCCCGGGGGTCAGCAGCACCGCCAGCCACACCTCGAAGGGGGCCTCCCTGGGGACCTGGTTCTGTTTCCTCATTGGAGCCCAGGGCTAGGGTTTGTGGGGGACAGGAGCATCACGCTCCTGGCCTGGTGTGGCGGGGAGTCATCACCTTAAGAGGAAACCTGGCACTGGGGGGCGGGGGGCTGCAGAAGCCCAGGGAGGGAGCAACAGGAAGCCAGGTGACAAGCTGCAGTCCGCCACACGCTGCTGAGGGCCCCCAGGATGTGGCTTGGAAGCGCAGCCTTGCACCACAAGAGAAACAACTGTTTCCAAACCCTGCCCTTCCCCCCGCCCCAGGCAGTACAACAGTCCCCCCACCGTCCTCCTAAAGGGACCCTCCTCCTAAGAGCCCCGTGCATGCCTGACGTGGACAGGGCCAGTCCTGACCCGGGATCAAGTCTCCCCTAAATCAGCCCCAGGAGGAATTTGCTCTTGGCTGAGGGATCAAGGCCAGCAGCCGCCGGAATAAAGGACTGTGGGCATGGTCTTGGTCTTCGTGCTCCTTTTTTTCAGACCCCAGCGGACCCCAGGGGACCACAGGTGACGAACTGTGGAGAGCTGGCCTGCACAGAGTAGGCTGAAGCAATTCCACCATCACCAAATTAAGGGGTCCGAACAGAATCCGAGGGGGCTCAGGGATGAACAGGTGGAAGCAGAAGAGGAGGTCAAGGGTGCATGGGGGTCTCGGCGTGAGCCAGGCTCTGGCCCAGCCTCTGGCACGGAAATGTGCCTCCTGAGGGCTGAACCAGGCAAACCCTGGACCCTGGGCACCTGGGCTCTGCCAACGTGTGGGACCCCTGAGACCAACCAGGACTGGGACTAGCTTGAGGCTGAGACCTGGGAGCCAGGCAGACCCCGACAGACCCTCGACAGCTTTGCTGTTCTCCTGAGGATAGCTCCAAACTCTAACAGCTTCTGGACCCACTGAGAGGCAAGAGCCAGGGGCTTGGGCCCGAGAGGTGGCATCTGTCCCTGGCACCTTCCCAAAAAAAAAAATCTTTGGCAGCACATGATCTTTGATCTTTTTGTTCTCTGGGCTTGTTTGTTTTGGGGCCACACCAGGCAGTGTTCAGGGCTTACTCCTGGCTCTGCACTTTGGAATCACTCCTGGGCAGTGCTCAGGGAGTCATGGGAGATGCCAAGGATTGAACTGGGCTAGACCACGTGCAAGGCATAGTGCTCCACCCACTGTGCTCTCTCTCTGGCCCCTCAGGGAATGATCTCTGGACCCAGCCAGGAAGGCAGGGGGACTCACATGCCTTCAAGGTTTCCCCAAACTGTGGGAGAACCAGCAGGCCCAGATCTGGGCTTCTGCATCAAAGGTGGCTTAGAGCCATGCTCTCCACAGCCTCCTGGACTGGGGCGGGGGGCTGCAGGTGGCAGTTCTGCCAGGACCCGAGAGCGTTCCCTTGAGAAAAGTCAGTGTGAAAGCACCGCTGGTCATAAGTGCTGATGCTTGGAAAGCCGGCAGGGAGGCAGGGCCAGGTATTGAAACAAATACGCCGTGTCAGGAAGAAACCAGAAAGCCTGGCTCAGAGGGCTGGGAGACACAGGCCTCATCAGAGGTGGAAGCCTGGCCAGACAGAACCCCAGGAGCACTGTCTGGACCCCATGGACCGAGGCTCTGCGAACTACAGGACGAAGGACAACAGAAGTTAGTGCTTGCCCCAGGAAAAGCCCAGTCAACCCCTACCTGTGCAATAACCCAAGGCCACGGCAGCTCCCCACATGGCCTGTCCCGGAGCTCCAGGAAGATTCCTCCCCTCTGGCTTCCCAAGAAGACTTTCCTCCTTTGAGGCTCGTCTCCCAAGACGGACAGGTCAAAGACTGATTTCCCTTTGTCTGAGGAGAGTAATTCATCCCTTTAGGCTGGAGAGAAGGCGGCACAGCGGGTAGGGTGCTCGCCTTGCACGTGGCTGACCTGGGTTCAATCCACATCATTCCACATACTCCCCACAACTCAGCCAGAAGTGATCCCGGGAGTGCAGAGTCAGGAATAACCCCAAGCACTGCCAGGCGTAACTCAAATACAAAGAGCCTGGTGGGCCTGCAGACTGGGGGTGGGGTGGGGGGGGGTGCTCAAGAGAGCACAGTACAGGTAAGAGTGTGGGGGGGGTGCAACTTGCAGGGGAGACCTAGGCCATCAACAGGAAGAACCAAAGGGCCTTAGAATGGAGGGGCGGTTCCTGGGCCGGGAAGGGGGCCCACACACGCTCTTGGTTGGGATCTTGGGGAGCAGCCTGTGGGCCTGGGTCCCTGGCACCCACAAACAGACACCAAAGATCCAGATGCAAAACCACCTACAAGCTTTAATGCTACGGCCTCCAACCGGCTGGGGCCCAGCTGGGCAGCCTCTGGCTCAGTCCCGGGCTCTGCCAGGGTCCCTGGTCCGTAGATCCGAGAGTCTTCCAAGATGGGGCTGTGGCCCCACCCTGCCGTCCCTGCTGGTCTTCTGCAAGTGCAGCTCTCTTGGCCGAATGCAGTGGGGGGACAGGCAGCTGAGGGCCACAACGAAGTCCTTCTGGGCCGTACAGGGGCGATCCCGACGTGGCAGGCTTCTCCAGGGAGCTCCAGGTGGGGCAGAGCCCCAAGTGCCAGGAATGTGAAGCACGGCCCTTGACAAGGACCAGCCACGCTCTGCACCCCAAGCCCCACGAAGCCAACCAGTACTAGCACACACTTTCTAGAAGCTACAGGCCCCGGCCGAGACCCAGGCCGGCCTGGGGCGGGTGTGGCGAGCAAACCGTAGCGGGGTGTTGGGCGGCACCCCCACCCTTGAGGTAGGCTGTGTTGTCCTTATCTTACAAAAGGGCCTGAGCTGGGGGGATGGGACACTGGCCCAGCCACGCAGCGGGACACAGAGCCAGCATCCACGTCCATGGTGCTCTTGGGCCCGTATGTTCTGCTTCAAGACGAGGATGGAGCCCCAGCCACCAAGGACCGCAGGCCCGAAGCTCCGGGACTTTCAGCTCTGCTGTGGACACAAGCAAGTTGGAGATCCACCTCCAATCCTGGGAGAGCTGGGCAGGCCAGGGTGGGGTACAATGACTCCGACAGTCAGCTGTGGAACAGCACCAGCATCCCGGGCTACAAAGGATGACCCTGGCTGCCCAGCAGGGGAGCACGGGGAGCAGTCCGGTCTGGCCCTTGGGTCTTGTGGCCCCACGTGGGCAGTGCCAGGCCATTGAGCCAGGCGGTTTCCAGCAGGCTTCGGAAGCGGGCCTTCAGCGTCGGGGCGGGTGGGCTGCTGGTGGGGGGTGGGGAGGTGCCTTGGGAAGCCCCTGCCAGTTTCTTGGGGACTGGGGTTGGTAGTTTCCGGCTGGGTTTCTTGGCCTTGGGGACCGGTGACTTCCAAGCCAGGCTCTCTGGCTCCTCTCTGGCCACTTTGGGCCCTGGCGGGGTCACGGGCCCCGTCTCAGGCTCCATGTCACCTAAAGAAAGAGCATACAGTCAGAAGGCAGACCCGCAGACAAAAGGGGGCGCTACTCCCCGCTGAAGCCACCTAATGCAAGCACCCCCAAATGCTGAGGGCCCAGGTGTGGTCCAAGGGATAGTGCCCGGTCCTGGGTTCCAGTCACAGCATGACCCCCACAATGGACAGGAAAGAACAGCAGCATGGGCATGAGGAGGGGGGAGAGCACGGCACATTCCCCACCAAAAAAACCCGCTGGCCTGGCTCAAAAGCCTACTCGGGGCCAACAGAGCACAGCCAGTAGGGTGTTTGCTTCGCAGGCGGCCAACCTGTGTTCTATGCCTCCGCACCACACACGGTCCCCCTGAGCCCCGCCGGGCGTGACCCTTGAGCGCAGAGCCAGGAGGAAGCCCCGAGCACCACAAAAAACCAAAAGCAAAATGAGGCCAGTGTATAGACGGGCCCAGCAGAGTCCCTCTGCCAGTCCAGGCAGGGCCCCAAGGAGGGAGGAGGCTATGGGGAGCAGTGGACGGACACCCAGAGGGGTGATCCCGGAAGGTGGGAGAACTCCAGGACTGGGGGAGCGGGGGGCAGGGCTGCAACCACCCCCCCAAGCACCCAGATACCATCCAGCGTGGCCCCAGAAGGCAGGCGCGAGATGCAGAGGGCAGAAGGCGAGAGTCCAGGCGACGGCGGCTTCCAGCCCAGCTGACCCGTCCCCGCCCCCCGCCCCGCGGAGGCCGCCCCGCATCACACACCTGTCCCTGGCTCTCACGGCTGCGGCGGCCACGGGCGCCGCCCCATGCTCACCCAGCTGGCGGCGCACGCAGTCCCGCCACTGCAGGCCCAGCAGGTCGGGGTAGATGTCCGGCAGCTGGCGCAGGGCCAGCAGCTTCAGCATGCGCGAGGTGCAGCCGTGCAGGGCGCGCTCCCGCAGCGCGCGCTCCTCCGACAGCGTCGTGGGCCGCAGCTCCACGCGGTGCTCCTGCAGCACGTGGTCCACGGAGGCGGGCGCCAGGCGCGGGAACAGGCGCTCCTTCACCAGGTGGATGGGCACGAAGATCGCCCCGGCGCGCACCACGTGCGGGAACGGGCACCACTGGGTGCACAGGAAGCTCTGCAGCTGCGAGAGCAGCTTGCCCAGCAGCCCCTGCACGCCCTGGCCGTCCTGCCACGCCGCCCGGCCCCAGGGCCCCGCCGAGTCCAGCCACTCGCGCAGCTTCTCGGGCGGGGAGTGGGCCACGGAGCCCGAGATGGCATCGCACAGGGAGGCGTGCAGCCCGGTGAAGCGCTGCTCGGGGGAGATGCTGGAGGGGGGCGTGGAGGGGGGTGGCGCGGGGGTCGGGGCTGGGGCTGGGGCCGGGGCTGGGGCGGGGGCCGGGGCCGCGATCACTGCCGGAGCAGTCACTGCCAGGGTCGGGGGGCTGGGCACAGCCAGATTGAAGCAGGTCACCGGCAAGGGCTGGGTGAGCACCGGCAGCCCCAGGGGCGCCGCTGTGACGGGTGGGGCGGGCTGCGGGGGCCCAGGGGTCTGCGTGGACCCGGACGGGTCTGGCACCGGGGCTCCCGGTCCCGGCGCTGGCCGGAGGATCTTGAATTTTCGGAACATGAAGGCCACGGAGCTGTGGAAGTTGGTCCTGGGGGTGGCCTCGGAGGTCCCTGGCCCCCGGGAGGCCTCTGGGCTTATCTTCTTCAGGTCGGGCAGCTCTGGTGCCATCATGCTGTCCACGCCGGGCACGTCTATGGCCTCGGGGGGCTTGACGTGCACGTGGGGGCTCGGTGCCTTGAGGTCCGGCGTCTCCACGGGGGGCTTCTTCACGCTCAGATCCAGGGCCCCCTCCTCCTTGAGCGCACAGGCCGGCCGCGAGGGGGTCTCGTCGCTGGTCAGGCAGTCCCCAGAGTCCCCGGCCTGGTCCTCCCTGGGCGCTGGGCCGGGCTCGGCGGGGCCCTCCGGGGCCTGCACGTCCAGGTAGTCCCGGTAGGGAGCCAGGCTGAAGACGTTGTCGATGATGGGCATGGGCGGCGAGCTGGGGGGCGGCGGTGGCGGGGCCGGGCGCCCCTGGGCCTGCGCGCAGGGCGCAAGGGCTGGCGGGGTGCGCGGGAGGGGGCTGTCGCGGATGACGATGGGCGCCCCCGGGTGTTCATCGGCGGGGGCCGGGCGCGGCTCTCTCCCGCAGCTGGGCAGCCACGGCGTCTCTCGCTCCGGTGCTACTCCAGGGCGCCGCTTCTCCACCGGCCTCGGGGGCTCCGGGCCCGCCCGCTGGAAGGCGCTGGATTGAGGTGCTGCTGGTACACTGTTCTGGGACGGGGAGGTCCCCACGAGCCCCGGGGACGCGCTGTAGAGAGAGAGGTCATCCCGGGCATAGGGAAAGCCCAGCGTCTGGGGGGCCAAGTCCAGGGAGCACCGCGGAGCAAGAGGCGGCTCCAGCTTGAGTCCTGGGGACGGGGAGGGGAAGGGGACGGAGGAGTAGGAGTAGGAGTCCAGTCCCAGGGGAGGCAGGTAGGGGGTCTGAGGTGCCTGTGGCCTCAGGTAGGGGCCGCCCAGCCCAGAGGCCTGGTACCCCGACCCTTTGTGGCCCCCGAGAGGCTGCAGAGGGAGAGCAGGGCTACAGCCACTCCCCCGATCGGGGTGGCGGCAGGCCGTGGGGTACGGGAGGGCCTGTGCAGGGTGGGGCGGGGGGTAGTGGGCCGGCAGGACATCCTGGCAGGCGGGCCCCAGGGGTGAGGCCAGCTGGGTCCACGGACTGGGGGGCCCCTCAGAAAGCAGCTGCTTGGGGTCCACAGGGTATGGCGCGGCACACTTGGAAGCGAGAAGGCTGGCGCTGCTCTGGAGGCTGTGATACTTGTCCAGGAAGGCCTGGCACGAGGGGAAGCCCACCGAGGAGGGGTCTTTGCCCGGTGTGCCTGTGGGCAGTCCCCGCAAGAAGCTGCCATCCAGGGACTGGCCCTTGCCAGGAGCCGGGGTCAGAGAGCAAGGGGGGTCGGCGGGGGGCAACAGGGGCCCCGTCACCAGCGTCCAGTCAACATCCAGCGGCCTCTTCGCTGCCCCTTCGCCCAGACAAGTCGAGAGCCCGTAACAGAGGGGGCTGCGGTAAACAGGCTTGGGGGCCGCCAGCTGGGGGCCCGGGTAGGACGAAGGCTGCGGGCCGAAGGGGAGGAGCTCCATGGGGCCCGGATCCTGGCTCTTGTCCGAGGCATCTGGGGGCGAGCGGTACAGCAGGCAGCCGGTCAGCAGGTTGTCCGTTCGCAGAGGGGGTCCAGCCACACCGTTAGGGTACAAAGGTGGATACGGGGTCCAGGAAGTTAAGCGCTCCGACCCAGCCTTGGGCGGCCCCCCCATGGGGCAGGAGAAGTAGGCCCCCTTGTAGCTGCAGGGCTCCTGGCTCCCAACCGAGGGGGGCAGGCTGTGACCAGGCCCCGAGCTGGCCTCCAGGCGGGGCAGCTTGCCGTACATCACGGGCCCCAAGGTGCCCAGCGGTCGCTTCTCGGCCATCACGGTCAAGGCTTCAAGCCCTCTGGGGCTCCCGCTACTCCACTGCTGACCTAGCGGGGGGAGAGAGGCAGGGGGTCAGAATATGCAGCAAGTCGGCGGTCACGCCACCCAGCTCACAGGGTCACACCACAGTGACCACAGCAGACGTGCAATAAAGACCACACGGGAATGAATGAACCAGTGTGAGCGATATACTCTGCGGAGTCCTGACTTTAAGTTCCTTTCTGTTAGGGCCGGAGAGATAGAGCACAGCAGGCAGGGCATTTGCCTTGCATGCAGCCGACCCGGGTTCGATTCCCAGCATCCCATGTGGTCCCCTGAGCACCACCAGGGGTAATTCCTGAGTGCAGAGCCAGGATTAACCCCTGTGCATCGCAAAAAGCAAAAAAATAAATAAGTTCCTTTTTGTTTCTGTCTTGTTTGGATTCTGTGGCCATACCCGGCTCTGCTCAAGGGTTACTCCTGGCTCTGTGCTCAGGCATCACTGCTCACAAGGCTGGAGGGACCAAACGCGGCACCCGGGAGCTACAATCTGGGGTGGCTCATGCAAGCCAAGTGCCTTACTGCTGTGCTAGCTCTCCAGCCCATTTTACTTTATTTTTGGTTTTTGGGTCACACCTGGCAATGCACCGGGGTTACTTTTGGCTCCGCACTCAGGAATCACCCCTGGCGGTGCTCAGGGGACCACACGGGATGCTGGGAGTCGAATCTGGATTGGCCGAGTGCAAAGCAAACACCCTACCCACTGTGCTATCGCTCCAGCCCCCCAGCCCAGTTTATTTTAATGTCTTCTAATGTTTTGGGGCCACACCCAGCCGTGCTCAGGGCTTACTCCTGGACACACAGCACCAGGGATCGAATCTGCTGGCTACATGCCCCATGATCTCTCCGCTACTATTTTAATTTCTTTTAACAGGGACGTTCCTAGCAATGCTGGGGAGTCCAGGGCCAGCCCTGCTGGGGGTGAGGCCAGCACTGAGCACAAACCTCACCTCACACCTTCTAGGCATGCATGTGCTCTGCCACTTCAACTATCTCCCTACCCACCCCCACCTTGGACTTAATTTTCTAAGCTGCAGGAGCCTTTGTTTATTGAATTTTTACAGAACCCCCCATGCCCGCTTCAGGAGCCCCCTCTGGTGTCTGACTTTGCAGGGTGCAGAGAAGACCATTTTCCTTGGTCAGCACCCCCACCCCCACTGCACCCCCAGTAGGGGACCCATTCAGGGTCACAGACACTGATGAAAGAGAGCCACGGGCCAGACAGTGCAGGGGTTAAGGTGATCCCAGTGAAATCTCCCACACCTTATATGATCCTCTGAGTCCGTCAGGGGTCAGTCTTGCTTTTGAGGTTGTGCTCAGGACTTACTCCTGGCTCTACGCTCAGGAATTACTCCTGGGGGTCCCTGAGAACCATATGGAATGTGGGGATCAAATTCGAGTTGACAGTGGGCAAGGCAAACGCCCAACCCCCTACCCGCTGTACTATCTTTCTGTTTCAGCGGTCACTCTTGAGCACAAAGTCAGAAACAGGCCCCAGAGCACCACAGGGTGTGGTCCCAAAGAGAGAGAGAGAGAGTAAGAAGGGAAGGGAGAAAGAAAGAAAAATAAAGGAAAGAAAAGAAAAAGAGAAAAAAGGGGCTGGAGCGATAGCACAGCGGGTAGGGCCTTTGCCTTGCACGCGGCCGACCCAGGTTCAATTCCCAGCATCCCATATGGTCCCCCAAGCACCGCCAGGAGTAATCCCTGTGCATCGCCAGATGTGCCCCCCCCCCAAAAAAAAACAACAAAACAGAAAAAGGAAGGAAGGAAGGAAGGAAGGAAGGAAGGAAGGAAGGAAGGAAGACAGCGGGCTAGTTCCTATGCCAAACACCAGAGATTTCCAACGGCCCAAATGGACTCAGTCCCTGTAATCCCCTCTAAACTTCCCCTCCAAGTCTCCAAAGGCACAGCATCTGGACTTGGTTTGGGGGATCAGCCCCCCCAGCAGAGCCTGGGTGTCCAGCAGGTGGTGCTGTGGCGCCAGCAGGAAGGAGCCCCTGGGCAGTGCAGGGGAGGAGGGCCGTCCACCCCCAGCCCTGAGCAAGAGTGATAAGATGTCTGCTCTGGGCGCGCGGGGGCAGCACAGCACCAGCGTGGGATGCTGGGGAGCCAGGGGGTGCGGAAGGCCTGTTCCCAGGGGCTCCAGCACTAGCTATACTGATGAAACAGCTGAGAAAGTCCCTGGGCGAGGCCCCCGGGGCTCAGGGACCCAGGCCCAGAGAGGCCTCCCCTCCAGGCACCCACTGACCTGCTTCCCCTCCCCCAGCGCCCTGCTCCCCCCTTCCTGAAACCCTCAGGTGGCTGAGAAAGATGAATCAGTTCCATCTTGCTATGAATAGGCAAGCCAGGTGTCACCAACAAGCTAAGACCAGCACACCCCTCCCGGTCCTCCCCTCCCTCTGGCTGGTGGCCAGCGACAGACACGAGGGGCTCCGAGTTCCACGGGGACACCTTGGGGATGGGAAACACCAAGGGAAGTCATGGGAACCACTCCCGGCCACCTCAGCGTCCCTGCACCACGGCCGGCAGCCTGCTGGACTCCAAGAAGTCAGGACACTAATCTCTTGGCCAGAAACAGACGCTGGGGCCAGTCTGGGGCAGGGAAGCTCCCATGGAGGCCAGAGGGAGCGCGGGGCAACAGTTGCTGAGTACTGGGCACCCACAGGGCCCTGCAGCCAGCCAGAAAGCCCCAGCAACTCTGCCAGGAAAGGTTATAGGGCTTGGGGGGGGGGGGGTGCAAGGCCCCTGCCCTCCCTGGGGAGTTCTGGATTAATTAAGTGCAAGCTCAGTGTCACCCCCCTTTCCCCATTCCTCAGGGCCTGCTTCAGCCCCACCCCGGTCCCGGGGGCCCTGCTCTCCTGGGCTCTGCCCATTGCGTGCCCTTTGCCCTGGAGACTTTCCGAGGCACCCCCTCCCCCAGGAGCTCAGCCCACGGAGGCGAGGCCACCTGGGAACCTCGGGAGTCTGGGGGTGGGGAGGGGGAGGTGCTGGGGGGGCCCGCAGCGGGCTATGAAGGGGATGGGGCGACCTGACGCCCGGCCAGCGGGTGATGGAGCGCTGGACTCCCCCCAGCCAGGCCCCTCGGCTGGGCAAGGCAGGGGCCCAGGTGAGGGCGCATCCTGGGGGGGAGGAGGGACCGGCACGTGCTTGGAGCCGAGCGGGACCCCGAGATGCTGCAGGGCCCGAGCCCCAGGAGGGTTTTCGGGAGCGGGCGGAGAGGCCGGATGCGGGCAGGGTGCGGGTCCTGGGACCACCTCCGGGTGGGGCACGGGACGCAGCCCTCCCGGGCCGGGCCGGGCCGGACCAGGAAGAGGGCGACCTGTGCCCGGCAGCGGCCGGCGTGTGCTCGGACCCGGGTCCCCGTGCTCAGCCCGCCCCCCGCGGAGGCAGCGCCCACCGGCCCGGCCAGTCGCTCACCCCACCGGGCTGCGGGCCCCGGCCCCCGGCGCGGGCTTCCGGGCGTGCCCACGCCCTGCCCTGCCCCGCGGCGCGGCGACGCACGTGCACCGGGCACGCACTCGCGGGTCTGCGCGCGTGGACACGCAGGCGGGGGGCGGCCGGGCCTCCGAGTGCCCGCGGCGACCCCGCCAGCCCGGGCTGCGGCCAGCGGCCGAGTCCGGCCGCGGCGGGGACGCCGCGGGGCGCGCCCAGCCCCCCGCCCGGGCCGTCCACGCGCGCGCCGGCCCCTCGGCCCCCGCGGCCAGCAGGGGCGCCCGGGGGCAGCGCGCCCGCCGTCCGCCAACTCGGCCCAAGTTTCCGCGCCGCCAGCCCCTACCTGCAGGGCGCCCGACCCCCGAGCGCCGCGTCCAGCCGCGGCCGCATGGTCCGGCGGGCCCCTGGCCGCGGGTCCCGCCCGCCGCGCCCCGGCGGGGAAGCGCGCGGAGCACCGAGGCCGGAGCCGCCCGCCCCGCAGCCGTTCGCGCCGCCGCCGGGCGCCGTCTGCGGCCGGGCGGGGCGGGCCGGGGGCGGGCCGGGGGCGGGGCGGCCGCGCGGCTGGAGCCGGCGCTCCCCGGGGGCCCGGGGCCGGCCCGGCCCGCGCCCGCCGCTGCCCGCGCCCCCCGGGCCCCCGCGCGTCGCCGCCTTCCAGCCCGCGGGCCGGGCACTTGCCCGCGCTGAGCTCCGGTGGGCTGCGTGGGCTTTTTTTTTTCCCTTTTTTTAAACTTGGCCCGGAGTCTCCCTCGTAGCGGGTGCGTGGAGAGGCTCAGAGGAGGTGGCGTGGACGCAGGAGGGGGCTCCGGGAGAGCCAGGGGGCACAGCCGGGAGGGAGGGCGCTTGCCTGGCACACGGCTGGGCTGGCCGCCGCGTTCTGTCTCGCACCGCCGGGGGTGATCCCCGTGTGCAGAGCCCGGAGAAAGAAAGACTAACGCAAGGAGAAAGTGCTCCGAGCACCGCCAGGTGTGTCCCACGATGTGTTTTTTTCGTGGGTCAGTCTGGGGGCCACACTCTGCAGTGCCCAGGGGTTACTCCTCGTCCTGCACTCAGGCACTACTCCTGGCAATGCTCAGGGGATCAGAGGGGATGCCAAGAATCGACCCCCGGGCCCATTGCATTACTTGCTGTCCTGTCTTGTACTGTATCTCTAGACCCCAGACACAAAATTTTGTAAATGAAATGGAAGAGTAAAGAGCAGGGCCTGGGTGGGGCTGCAGAGATAGCACAGCGGGTAGGGCGTTTGCCTTGCACGCGGCCGGCCCGGGTTCGATTCCCAGCATCCCATATGGTCCCCTGACCACTGCCAGGAGTAACCCCTGTGCATCACCGGGTGTGACCCAAAAACCAAAAAAAAAAAAAAAGAGCAGGGCCTGGAGGCAATGAAACGGAATAGTAGAGAGCCAGGAGACAGCTCAGAGAACAATGCGGGCACTGGCTTTGCATGCAGGAGGCCTGGGTTCTTTCCTGGGTGTACATGGTTCTCCCAGGCTCCCCAGCACACATCCAGGACTAGTGCATCAGGGCCGGCAGGGGTGTTCTTATCCAGTACTGCACAGGACAGGGTGGGGTCTGAGCCTGTGCCCTCACCCAGATGTAGTCGATGCCAGACCAAAGACCCACCCCTGTTAAGACACCTGCTGAGGAAGGGGCGATGTCCCTGTCCCTGGAGCAGGAGGAATGACCTTGGTGGCAACCACTGAGCCTTTAGCAACCCCCCCCCCACCACACACACATGCACACATACTTTTGTGAGTTTTCTCTTGTGAGCTTCAAAAGAAAAGGCGCGTGGGCAGGTGCAAGCATTGGGTGGCTGACAACTGTTCCCCTGTGACAGACAGGCGAAGGACCCAGGGAACCGAGAGAGGAACAGGGCCCCAGGTTTGTTGGTGCTCAGTTTATTTCAGTTTATTTCTCTCTCCTCCCCAGCGCAGTCCCGTCTCTCCCTTACTGCACAATCGTAGTCATAGTTCTGGTCGTAGTCCCGGTCATCATAATTCCATCACCCTCGCCTCCTTGTAGACCTCAGAGTCCTCTATTTTCTTGTTCCCTCTTTCCCCTGACAGCACAGTTATATGGAAATCGTGAAGGGTGGGGTACACATAGGTGGGGTTGAGTTTGTCATAATGACAAACAGAGGTAAAGCCACTCCTTCAGGGGAAGTTCTGGGAGATTAACCCAAGGACAAAATGTCATCTGAGGGTTCTGCACTCCAGATTATGAGGGGATCTGCCCAAGGGCAGGATTCCTTCCAGGGTGTGTTGCTTTCTCCTTTCCCCAGCTAGAAATCCATTTAACCAATCATAGTAAATTTACTTCTTATACTATTTCTAGTCATTTTCTAGGAACACAGTAAGAGATATATTAAGCCTAAAGGTTGGCGCTTCCTGGGGCATCTCGCTATATACCCCAGACCGCAGTCCTCAGACCAGGTTAGTCTTTCCTAACCCCAGCAGGGTCCTTACTCGGTTCCTTCTTTTTGGGTCATGACAGAGTTTGTCCCACGACCACGCTCTTAAGTTATTATACTTATGGTGCTTAGCTTGTTCCCTTTCGACACCAGGGTGGCTTATAGCTTGCCCTGGGTCTGTCAGGTCCCTTGTCGGGACCCTGCTTTTGGAGTGCTAGGAACTAAGGGCAACTGAGGCTTAAGTCAGGTAAATATGATGGATGCCCGGGAGTAAATATTCTTTGGAGTCAATTAACTCCCATGTTACAAGAGCATAGCATCAACTGTCTTCCTGTGTCTATACAAAAAGGACAATTGCAAATGACATAAAGGAAAGAGCAAAGCAACATAGGATTATAGTGCCTGATGGAATTGGGTGTGCCTCGGGAGCACTGTTGTGGGAGTAACTCAATAAACCAAAGCCCCCTGAGGGAGGAGCAAGGACAACCCAGTGTTATCCAACAACACACGATGAGACGATCTGGGGTGGAGCAATAATATAGCAGATATGGCACTTGCCTTGCACACGGCTGACCCTGGTTCAATCCCTGGCATCCTATATGGACCCCTGAGCCCCACCAGGAGTGATCTCTGAGCACAAAACCAGGAATAAGTAAACACGATGGCCACTCAATACCTCTACTGCAAACTACAATACTCAAAAGGAGTGATTGAACAAAAGAGAATGCCCCTGCCACAGAGGTGGGATGGGGGACGGGGAGGGAGGGATACTGGGATCATTGGTGGTGGAGAATGGCACTGGTGGAGGGATGGGTACTCGAGCATTGTATGACTGAAACACAAGCACGGAAGTTTGTAAGTCTGTAACTGTACCTCACAGTGATAAAAAAAAAATTTTTTGCTCGAAAGGCCAATCGTCGATTTGCTCGAGCAGGCCCAGTAACGTCTCCATTGGAGACTTTGTTGTTACTGTGTTTGGCATATCCAATACATCACGGGTGGCTTGCCAGGCTCTGCCGTGTGGGCAAGATACTCTCGGTAGCTTGCCGGGCTTTCCTAAAAATAAACAAACATACAAAAAAACAGGAGTAAGTGAACCCTGAGCACTTCCAAGTATAGTCCCCCTCAAAACAACAACAACAACAGTAAGATAGAACTGAGTGGAGGAACTCTGGTGGCATGAAATATGGAGAGACACCCACCTGGGTGGTAACTGCAGAGCGAGGGGTGAGGGTGGGCTGTCCCCCTCTGCGATGGTTCCGCTGCCCCCCGCCCCCCCCCAAATCAGGTCCCTCACAGCTCCTGGTCGCCAAAGGGCTGGGGACAGGTGTGTGTGTGTGTGTGTGTGTGTGTGTGTGTGTGTGTGTGTGCGCAGTGGAAGAGCAGGATCGGGGAACGGCACCCAAGGTCAGAGCAGGTCAGGGGCCAGAACCTCCCAGGTCACTTCTTCCATGGCAAAGGTCAGGACTGCCCAGTCAGAGGGCAGAGGGGGCCGAATCAGGAAGCAGCTGGCGCTGAGGAGGAAGGAAGGGACTGGGCCGGAGGGACAGGAAGTGGAGGATGGAGAGTGGAGTGACCGCAAGAGCAGACTCGGGAGCGGCTTTCCCAGGGCCACCGGGCACCAGGGCTGGTGGAGACCCAGGTGACCTCCCAGCCTGGGACCTATCTCTGCCGCCCACTTGGCATCTGTCTGGTTCTGATGCTGCTTTGGCTTTTGGCATTTTTGTTTTGGGCTTTGGTATTTGTCTTTTTCTTGGAGAGGGTGGGGGTGGGGTGGTTGGAAGGTGGTATTTTGATTTTGGTTTTGGTATTTAGTTTTGTTTGGGACACACTCCCCCAGTGCTCAGGGCTTATACCTGGCTCTGTGGTCAGGACTTAGACCTCATTCTGTGCTCAGGGCTTACTCCTGACACTGTGCTCAGGACTTAGGCCTCACTCTGTGTTGAGGGCTTACATGTGACTTTGTGCTCAGGACTTACTCCTGACTCTGTGCTCAGGGCTTGCTCCTGACTCTGTGCTCAGGGCTTACTCCTGACTCTGTGCTCAGGGCTTGCTCCTGACTCTGTGCTCAGGGCTTACTCCTGACTCTGCTCAGGGATCCCTCCTGGCCATGTTCCGGGGTCCCTATGGGGTGCCAGGGATCAAACTCTGGTCTGCAGTGTGCAAGGCAAATGCCTTGCCTAGGGGGCATCTCTGGCCTCTCACTTAGCGCCTGATTGCTGAGAACTGGGGTCCTGGCCCTGCAGGCACAGGCTGCTCTCCCCACATTCCAGCCACCTCTGCCCTTTGTTCCCACATTGGCAGTGCCTCACCCTGGCCCCTGCTGCGGGCTGGGAGAAGGGCAGGCTTGAGGCCCTGGGGCCGAGGGCTCCAACTGTGAGTCCATGTGGCTTCTCTCGGAGCACCTGGGGACCATACAGGCTAGAGCGGGCCTGAGGCATCTCAGTCAGGGTTCTGTGCCCCCCCCCTGCGGAGTCATAGTTTAATCAGGCACTTTACAAAGACAGTAGCCCCCCCCCCCCCAGTTTGGGGCTGAAAGGGCCACACCCAGCAGTGCCTAGGTGCGTTTCTGGGTGCTTGGGGGCCCATGGAAAGCATGAGGTCCAGCCCTTTGACCTAGCTCCAGGGCCCAAGGTGTCCCCTCAGTTCTCTCTCCCACCTCCAGGGTTGACAAACGGCAGGAGAGTCCCGATCACCTCAGCACCAGTGGTGGCACCAGGGGTCTGATCTCACCACCTTGTGCTTGCCAGGCCAGCCAGCAACTTAGCCACCGAGCTGTCCCCCAGGCCCTGATGTGACCCTCTGAAGCAGTGTCCTACCCACCCCCGTTGGGCACAGAAGCCACCTTTCTATCTTCCCAAGCCTCCACTTTCCGATCTGCAAAATGGGAACCGTGAGGGCTACGGCACCTGCCTTGCATGCTGCTCACCCGGGTTCGATCCCCAACACCATATAGGCTCTCTCGAGCACAGAGCTAGGAGCCTTCCCCAGGAACAGGGTCAGGAGGAGTTGACCCCAGTCACTGCCAAGTGTGAC